AAGAATTTGTTTTTAGAGTAAGGTCAACTCCTGCTGACCAAATCTGACAATGAAAGAAACAGGGTAATCTAAAAAGAAAAGGAGTACTTGTGGCACCTTAGAGACTAACCAATTTATTTGAGCATGAGCTTTCGTGAGCTACAGCTCACTTCATCGGATGCATACTGTGGAAACTGCAGCAGACTTTATATATACACAGAGAATATGAAACAATACCTCCTCCCACCCCACTGTCCTGCTGGTAATAGCTTATCTAAAGTGATCAACAGGTGGGCCATTTCCAGCACAAATCCAGGTTTTCTCACCCTCCACCCCCCCCACACAAATTCACTCTCCTGCTGGTGCTAGCCCATCCAAAGTGACAACTCTTTACATAATCAAGTCGGGCTATTTCCTGCACAAATCCAGGTTTTCTCACATCCCCCCCACCCCCATACACACACAAACTCACTCTCCTGCTGGTAATAGCTCATCCAAACTGACCACTCTCCAAGTTTAAATCCAAGTTAAACCAGAACATCTGGGGGGGGGGGGGGGGTAGGAAAAAACAAGAGGAAACAGGCTACCTTGCATAATGACTTAGCCACTCCCAGTCTCTATTTAAGCCTAAATTAATAGTATCCAATTCGCAAATGAATTCCAATTCAGCACTTTCTCGCTGGAGTCTGGATTTGAAGTTTTTTTGTTTTAAGATAGCGACCTTCATGTCTGTGATTGCGTGACCAGAGAGATTGAAGTGTTCTCCGACTGGTTTATGAATGTTATAATTCTTGACATCTGATTTGTGTCCATTTATTCTTTTACGTAGAGACTGTCCAGTTTGACCAATGTACATGGCAGAGGGGCATTGCTGGCACATGATGGCATATATCACATTGGTGGATGTGCAGGTGAACGAGCCTCTGATAGTGTGGCTGATGTTATTAGGCCCTGTGATGGGGTCCCCTGAATAGATATGTGGGCACAATTGGCAACGGGCTTTGTTGCAAGGATAAGTTCCTGGGTTAGTGGTTCTGTTGTGTGGTATGTGGTTGTTGGTGAGTATTTGCTTCAGGTTGCGGGGCTGTCTGTAGGCAAGGACTGGCCTGTCTCCCAAGACTTGTGAGAGTGTTGGGTCATCCTGTAGGATAGGTTGTAGATCCTTAATAATGCGTTGGAGGGGTTTTAGTTGGGGGCTGAAAGTGACCGCTAGTGGCGTTCTGTTATTTTCTTTGTTAGGCCTGTCCTGTAGTAGGTAACTTCTGGGAACTCTTCTGGCTCTATCAATCTGTTTCTTTACTTCTGCAGGTGGGTATTGTAGTTGTAAGAAAGCTTGACAGAGATCTTGTAATCTAAAATCTTGTAATCTAAAATTATACTTACTGATGGGGAAAGCCATTTCTTCTGAAAAAGCGTCAAGTAATCAGACTTTACGAAGGAGAAGGAGGGAGGGGAAAGCTGGGGAGGTGAAAACCATCTTAAAACCCAGGACCAGAGCACAGGGTTTCATTTCAGCCTCCCCACTGCAGCTGCTTCAGTGTTATCGGACAACTCTGACCTGGAGGGCCCCACTTTAGGTGTCAGAGGATTATTAAGTCTTCCTGTCAATTCAGTTCTTGACCTCTCTGCCTACCCAGCTAGAATGCCAATGTGTACATTTGTGATGCTACGTGAGTAATTGTAATGGTGTGTTTTATGTGAAACTTCCGTCCAATGGGAATTGGACTAAGATGGCTCATTTTGACCACCAAACAGCAATTAGATAGTAATCATATAACCAGTGCCTTAGAGTTGAAAGAATCTGTGCTGTTAGGCATTTTGTAAAGTCTGATCCTGCAAAGTTCTGAGCACTCTTATCCAACGAGATTTGATGGTGCTTAGCACTGAGCAGGATCAGGCCCTTAGTATTGCAAAAATGTGACCTCACCCGTGTTTTATTCTGGCCAGTAGATATGCACAATGTTAATAGTGTTAATAATTACAAAACACTGTTGTATCACTCTTTATTCCCTCTCCCGTATCCAGTAATCTGTTCCATGTTTAGTATTTCAAATCGCTTATTATTTTAGCTTTTATAGACTATTAAAAATTGTATGCAGATTATGAATTTTCCCAGTAAGGAAGTTGTAAAATACTGGATTTTCGCAACAGAGGTCATTTGTGGAATGGAAAGTATTTAACAGTCTGTAATAATGTCTTGCAATGCAGTGCTTTTCAGTTTTAATTTGCTGCATTCACAATGGATTAGCTCAAAGACACAATGAGCTAATGATTCTTGGAAATCCCTTGGGATTTCCAAAATGGTGGGTGGTTTTTTTTTTTTTTTTTAAAAAAGTCCCTAGACAGGAAGTTTAAATTCTGATTCTCAAGATGCCAGGAAAATGTCAGTTTCTTTTTCAGTAAGAAAGGCCTGATCCTTGCACTAGAGTAATGCTATCTGTCCCTTGACTTCAGTGGGACTACTCACCGTTATAGGCATTATGGGCCAGATTCTGAGCCCCTTATTTGCATTGTGTAGTACCTTAGTACTTCCTTGAACAAATCCATGGAACTGAAGAGCAAGATACACAGTATTGCCAAGCCTCAACATTCTAAAATCATGAGTCAGGTCTCCAAGTAGCAGGAGACTGGCTTAAAAATCAAGAGTTAAAAAAAGAAATAAATACATTTTAGGTTCTTTCTATTTGCCTTCTGGACTTTAGTTATTTATGGTGCATTTGGGTCACATCTGCAAGCCTTTTCCTATAACCAGGAGGGCTAGAATCTTACTTTTTTAAAAAAAAAAAATGAAAGCTGAGGTTCTCATATAATCCCTTGTTTCCATGAACTTGGGTATAAATAAGACATCAAATATTAAGAAACTCATGATAAAATCACAAGAGATGGCAACACTGAAAAAGACCTGAGTTTTTTACCTGAGGGTAACTAATGCAGGTGAGCTATCCTCAGGTAAAAACACAATGAAGACCAGCCCCAAGTTGTGTATCCACTGTTTTACCATGAGGTAAACTCATTGAGGTCAGCCTTGTACCTCTGTATGGGACCTCAGTGAGTTTACCTCATGGTAAAATTAAAGTGCCTTATCTTCACTGTGTTTTTATTTGGGGATAGCTCACATATGTTCGTTACCCTGAGGTAATAAACGCAGGGAAGAAAAGCCCTTAGGGTGAGTAAGGGTATCTGGCTTTTGTTTGATAGCCTTTGCCCCATGAGGCCTTTAGACAGTCGAATGATCCTACTTTTTGTTTTACTTCCCACCACCTCCATGAGGGGATTAGCTTAGAGCGCTGGGGGCACTGTTTACACTGGCGCTTTACAGCACTGTAACTTGCTGTGCTCAGGGGTTTTTTTTTTCACACCCCTGAGCAAGAAAGTTGCAGTGCGGTAAAGTGCCAGTGTAGCCATAGCCTTAGTTTGGACCCGTCCGCATGACAGTGTGGTGAGATCAGGCACTCCCCAATAGTAGCACAAGGAAATATGACTGATTTTCAGAATAGGAACAGGTTTCAGAGCAACAGCCGTGTTAGTCTGTATTCGCAAAAAGAAAAGGAGGACTTGTGGCACCTTAGAGACTAACCAATTTATTTGAGCATGAGCTTTCAAAACTTCTGCAGTTTCCACAGTATGCATCCGATGAAGTGAGCTGTAGCTCACGAAAGCTCATGCTCAAATAAATTGGTTAGTCTCTAAGGTGCCACAAGTACTCCTTTTCTTTTTTCAGAATAGGAAGTAGACCTCCCAAAATTTTCCACTTCCTGAATTGGTCTCCTAAAACGGCCTTAAGATTGGCTCCCCTTCGGGAGGTTTCATGAAGAGAGCACTGTTTATCGCCCTGGTTCTGTCTGGTCAGTCTGGGAGCAGCACCTGTTAGACCTCTGGACCTTTCATCTCACCCCACCAAAAGGAGATGCAGCTTCTGATTACATTGTTACCAGAAACCCTGAAGCTCTGTAAATTCACACACCACTTGAGCTACACAGAATAAAGCACCTGGAGAAAGTGCCAAGATACTGTGATTCCTGGCAGCTCAGGCTTGGTCTAAACACAGTTTTTGTATCCAGTATTTCCATGAATGGTGTGGGGTTTACTTTTTGCCAGCGTTACAATCCCCTACAGTCCCCTAGTGTGGAGGCAGTTCTGGTGGTATAAAGAACTGCTGTGAGGATAGCTACATTAAAGATCGGGAGGTGCTCAGATACTATGACAGATATCTTCGTATCATAGATGCTGGAACTAAGGGTGCAGGGGGTGCTGCCGCACTCAGTGGCTTGAAGTAGTTTCCATTATATACGAGGTTTACAGTTTAGTTCACTGGCTCTCAGCACCTCCTCTGTACACATTGTTCCAGCACTCCTGCCTGGTACAGCCTATTTTATGGGAATGAACTATAAACTTATGCTCTAATAAATTTGTTAATCTCTAAGGTTTCAGAGTAACAGCCGTGTTAGTCTGTATTCGCAAAAAGAAAAGGAGGACTTGTGGCACCTTAGAGACTAACCAATTTATTTGAGCATAAGCTTTCGTGAGCTACAAAGTGAGCTGTAGCTCAGGAAAGCTTATCCTCAAATAAATTGGTTAGTCTCTAAGGTGCCACAAGTACTCCTTTTCTTTTTAGTTTCTAAGGTGTCACAAGTATTCCTGCTCTTTATGCCACTTTAAGGACCTTTAAACCCATGTAAACTGGCTGGGATGATTTAGTTGGGGATTGGTCCTGCTTTGAGCAGGGGGTTGGACTAGATGACCTCCTGCGGTCCCTTCCAGCCCTGATATTCTGTATGTTCACACTGGGGCAGGGGTTACACTACTTTCACTATACAGTGTAGTTAAAGGGGCACTACTTTTGTGGGTCATTCTTGGATAGGTGGATCGTTACTAGAAGGTACATTCCCTGCCTCATTGACTCATTCCCTGGGACTTTTTAGGGCAGCAACGTATTTTTCATCTATTTCCCCTTCCCCGATGAGAGGGGCCACTTCCCCCACCCCCGGGCCTGAGGAAAGCAAAGACCCTGCGCCAGGGGGCGGGCGCATGCCCTCCTACAGGCCTGGCTGCCCGCCTCTCCTCGGGGCAGCAGCTGGGACAGTCTTGGAGGGAGCGGCTCGCACAGTGGGTAGCCAAAGTTCGGCGGCGAGACGCCGATGCCAAACCCAGCCCCTGGCCGGGGGAGGATCGGAACGGGAGCTGCGGGCAAGGCAGGGATTTGCAGCAACAGACACAAACTTTCCCCTCCGAGGCGAGGCAGCCTTTGCGGCGGAGGCGGCGGGAAACGCGCCCGCTCCCTTAGCATGGCCCCCTGGGAGCTGCTGCCGCTCTACACCTACGGCCTTGCCATCGCCACGGCTCTGCTCCTCTGGGCGGCGTGCGCCTGCAGCAGGAGGAGGAGGTAAGGGGCGGGGGAGGAGGAGGCAGGCGCTGTACAGTGTTTGGAAGAGCCCGGGCGGGTTGTTTTTCCTGGGGGCTTTGTGCGAACGGGGGAGGGGGTAAATACCCACATTTGTCCCCTTCCCCCCGGGTCCTTCGGGTACGTGCCGCTCCGAGAGGGGAGACGGAGTCGAAAGGCGACAGCTCTGGCGCCGCCTGAGGCTGCGTTCCTGAGACCAGGTTTATCCTCTGACCTCCACCCGCCCCCGGCCGGGGGAGGCGCTAAAAGTGATACAGCGGCACTGAGCTCCAGCGCCCGAGATCCCATTTGCAGGTCCCGAGTTGTTGTTTTTGGAGCAGCCTTTGGAGAGCCCAGTGTTACAGCCCTGCGTCTAGCACGCAGTCGTTTTAGAGCCAGAGGTTTTCTGTGGGTCTTCAAAGTTATATGTGAAATCCAGTGTAAGTAACAAACACCAAACTCCAAATGAGTGACATGAACATATGTCCCCTATTACAGCTGCAGTGCTAAAACCAGGTACTATTGTATTAGCTGAGTACCTTGTCTAAAGGTTCCATGTACTGGTGTGAGGCAGGATCCGAATCCAAGTTTGAAACTTGGCACAGTTTTGAGAATTGAATGTACCCAGTGATCTGTGCAGGGCTGGGAGAAGTCTTAGAGCTGTAATTTTTAAGTGAAGTATTTGTGCAACATGCAGACACATGCATTATATTCAGGAATGTGCTGGACTGAAAATAAATCAAGAGGGCTGATTTCTTGTGCACCCACATCAAAATCAGTGGGAATTTAAGGTGTAAAAGCCATGTAGGGTCAGGCCTGTGGCATGTTTGCATGTAAAGTTCAATTACTAGGGATATCACTTAGGCTTCATCCATACCCTAGCAAGAAAAACTGTGTGTAATATACCACACATAGACCAAATAGGCAATCCAGACTTTAGCGACCTGTCACATTCAGCCTCAGGTGAAGTTGTATGTCATGTTGGAGTCAGATATACGCCTATGTTGCTTGGTTATACTGCTGGCCTTCACTGCTTCTTTGCCCTCTTTTATTTACAGAGAGTGCTGATATAATAAAAAGAAAAGGAGTACTTGTGGCACCTTAGAGACTAACAAATTTATTTGAGCATAAGCTTTCGTGAGCTACAGCTCACTTCATCAGATGCATTTAGTGGAAAATACAGTGGGGAGATTTATATACCTAGAGAACATGAAACAATGGGTGTTACCATACACACTGTAAGGAGAGTGATCACTTAAGGGGAGCTATTACCAGCAGGAGAGCAGGGTGCGGCGGGGGGAGAGGAGAAACCTTTTTGTAGTGATAATCAAGGTGGGCCATTTCCAGCAGTTGACAAGAATGTCTCAGGAACGGTGTGGGGGAATAAACATGGGGAAATAGTTTTACTTTGTGTAATGACCCATCCACTCCCAGTCTCTATTCAAGCCTAAGTTAATTGTATCCAGTTTGCAAATTAATTCCAATTCAGCAGTCTCTCGTTGGAGTCTGTTTTTTGAAGTTTTTTTGTTGAAGAATTGCAACTTTTAGGTCTGTAATCGAGTGACCAAAGAGATTGAAGTGTTCTCCAACTGGTTTTTGAATGTTATAATTCTTGAAATCTGTTTTGTATCCATTGATTCTTTTACGTAGAGACTGTCAAGTTTGACCAATGTACATGTCAGAGGGGCATTGCTGGCACATGATGGCATATATCACATTGGTAGATGTGCAGGTGAACGAGCCTTTGATAGTGTGGCTGATGTGATTAGGCCCTATGATGGTGTCCCCTGAATAGATATGTGGACACAGCTGGCAACAGGCTTTGTTGCAAGGATAGGTTTATTACACAAAGTAAAACTATTTCCCCATGTTTATTTATGATGTTGAAACAGAGAAGATAAGTTGTGTTTCTTTTAGTTTCTCCAATTATGTTAGTTTTTGTTTCTTCCAACTAGAGAACTGGTGATTTCAAAGAAGGTACGTGGTCATGTTTCTTCAATTCACCCCTTCTTGTCAACTGTTGAGAATAGGTGACTTCCATCTTGATTGAATTGGCACTGACCCCCCACTTGGTAAGGCAACTCCCATCTTTTCATGTGCTGTAATATATATATATGGCTTACTGTATTTTTCACTCCATGCATATGATGAAGTGGGTTTTAGCCCACGAAAGCTTGTGCCCAAATAAATTTGTTAGTCTCTCTAAGGTGCCACAAGGACTCCTCATTGTTGTTTCTCTGTGAACTGAATTCTTCAGTATTTGGATCAGTGCCTAAAACACCAATATACCTGACATTGGAAAGAACAAATCAAAACATCATCCACCAAGAATACTACAGATCCCTACACAGACCTTTCATACTAGCAGACTACCTTGCTCCAATAAAATATGCAAAACTAAGGCAAATGTAAAGATTTTTTTTTAATCAAAAAGTGATGAGAAACTGCCACACTGAGAGAGGAAGGAGAAACATGGCAGAGATGGCATCACACTATACAGCAACTTGCCACTGCATCAGGAATGGATGCTGGTGACAAATGGACACAGGATCAAACCTCAGACCCAGTGTGTAGCCCCAGCCCTTGGCAACTTTGGTAACTGGTGTATAGCTTGTCATGCCAGTGAAGCCTTATTGAATTGAATGACTGAAAAATGATTCATATTTTATGAAGTCTCTTAGTTGACCATTACTATTGCATTTCAGACCGCATAGGAGTTTAAATGTCCTAATGATTGAGATAATTTTCTTTAATTCCTGTAACTCTCATGAGATGTTGCAGGGGTCACTGTCTTTTGAAGCTGCAGTTTTGCTCAAAGGTAAGGGAGCACTGGCCCTAGTTCAGTTTAAGCACATGTTTAATTAAAGTACTATAAAAGTCAATGGGACTTAAGTGCTTTGCTGGTTAGGCATGGTTTGCTGAATTGGGGTCCTTTATTTGGAGTGGCTTATTAAAAAACTACAGTGTGCAAGATTTTGGTCTTAAATGTTTCTGAATTTAGTAGTTTTAATAGTTTGCTGTTACTTGCATAGTACTATAGGTGTGCATTAGCTGTAATCAGATTTCAGGATGAGGTAAGTGCAATTTCTTTGTTAAATTACTTAAATACTTTATTTGGGGATTGCAAAGGAAGGAAGAGGAGTTTCCCTTTTAATAAATGTTTATTTTGTGAATGCTGGCAATAATAGTAATAATAAATAATACAAAGGAAAAGCTGACTTCTAGCAGTCTTTGCCAAGGCTTAACATCAGAGATAGTGAAGAATCAGAACCAAGAACAAAGGTTGATTCAGTCAAATATTATTTTGGGTTAAACTTCAGTATCCGATGATGCTCCCTACCTCCTGCATGCAACAAAGAGATATATCTCTTGTTGTGGAAGGAAGAAAGGCTACTCTGGAGGAACTGGGCAGTTTGCTGGGGAAGTAATGTTTTTGTCTCCAGGGAGTTTCGTTTCTTTCCCCATTTCTCCTCCTTCAGAAACATTTCTAATGTGGAAAAAGCCGGTAGCACTTGCCATTTTATTGTGAAGATTATTCCCATTTATCTTCATAACATTATTGAATCAGTATTGGCTTTCTAATTCTTTCTCCTCAAGCTGTTCTTCTCTGTGTGCAGATAATCTATCCAAGTAAGAGGTTAAACAGCACATATCTTGCTTGCCTGACTCATGGCATAGTGCCACTGAAGTCATTGGGATTACTGTCCAAAGTAAGGTAAACAGAATCTGGCCCTTAATGATGTAAATTTAAAATCCTTGAGACAAACATTTCTTACCTATGGGTCTGATGCTGCAAATATGACAAGACCATGCTTACTACTATGATATCTGGAAATGTTATGATGGCTAAAAATATTAGATGTATGTGTCTGCTAAAATGATCGGCTGTGAAGTAGTTAACAAGGCTGACATTTTAATAGACAACAGTAGACTTCAGAGTAGCAGCTGTGTTAGTCTGTATTCGCAAAAAGAAAAGGAGTACTTGTGGCAACTTAGAGAGTTAACTCTTTGAGATGAATGAAAAAATATACAGCACATGTAACTCACGTGAACATAACCATGTAGCAATTTAAAAATTGCAATACTGGAGTAGACCAATGGTCCTTCCAATTCAATATACTGTCTCTGATTATGGCCAGAACCTGTGCTTCAAAGAACCCTATAGTGGGTAATTATGGAATATATTTACCCCCAGGGACATTTCTTACTAACCCCCTCAGTTACAGCTTGACTGTGCCCTGAATCACATTTGTGTTCAACTTTAATCTCTTCATTAGTTCAGACTCCCTCCCAAAAAACAGACTGAAATGTAATCTTTCTCGAAGAGATTACCTTCCTGAGCCCAGACAGATATTTCTGAAAAGAAGTTATTTCATCTTTGTCTCCAGAACATCCTGTCCTTCTTTGTGACAAGTTGTGAGCCTGTTAACAGCTTTCTTACCAAGTGAATTGTAGTTCACGAGATGTCATCAGCCTGTCTTTTTTACCACTCTGCTAATTTAGGCAATATGTTAAGGTAGTTTTCTGTTTGAGGAAACATCAGGAATGACAGATTTTCTGGTATCCTAAACTCTGCTCTCGGGATCTCTTTCTCCTAACAACTTGCTTTTTATTGTATTTATTGCAAGGGCATTGAATGCATAGACATTTTCATGACCTGTGTGTTAGTTTCATCCTCCACACTTCTTATTGTCTTAGCCATCTCCACCCTAAAATTAATAGAACTAATGACTAATTAACTCTGTTTTAAGCAGGGAAGAGAAACATTTAAATTACTTCAATAACTATGAAATAATTTAGTTTTAAACAGTGTATTTATTATGTTTTTCAACATCTTGAATTCATTATTATGTTGAAAAGATGTAGGTTGTGGTTAAAATGTATTTCTTTGCATTCTTTTTCTGTTAGAGCTCAACAATGGTTGAGCAAATCTCTGCTCTTTTCAAGCTGTACAGTCTCAGTTCACTGGGCTTTCAGTTCTCAAGCAACTAGAAAAGGACTGT